GTGTATACAATAAAATCGAAGAAAAATTCTATAAGCCACCTATGAAGACAGAAGACATAATTAGATTGACAGAGATTTTAACCGAAGACCAATTAAATTTAATTACCCCGAAGTAATAAAACCTAAAAACATATTGACTTCTATTAGATATCAGTCGATAAGCATATTCGTTTATTTTGCAGATTACTTGGTAAGTGGCCCAACACTTACGCCTTTTCAAAGGCAATCTGTGAAGATACTGTACGGCAATATTCTAATGGAATTCCAACTTGCATCGTTCGGCCATCCATGCTGTATCAACAATAAAGGAACCAATTGCTAGCTGGATAAACAATTTGTATGGATTGTTGTGTTGCTTTGGGGTAGCTTGACCGATGTTTTGCGAACACTGTATTGTAATGAAGACCTTATTTGTGACCTAATTCCTGCCGATTATGTTGTCAACAACATTATTGCTGCAGCATGGGACGTTGCACAGAAACGGTAATTTGTATCTTCTTTTTTTAATTTACTACTCAAATAAACTTTCTGTTAACCTTTTAAAAAAAAATTTTGCAGTAAATAAGAAAAAGCTTTTATCGTAGTTATATATTACGGAGTGTTAATCTTACCAGCAGAGATAACAAATACTTACCTGTTGACGATGAGATTCCAGTTTATAATTCTGTTTTCTCCGTTCAAAGACCAGTTACTTGGGGTAATATAAGGGATTTTATAGACCCTGCGAAATTTGATATGCCGACGAAAAAAGTGTTTTGGTACGGCTCCATGTGGCTTAACAAGAACTATTATTTACATTTTTTTTTTTTTTGACAATTTTTTTGGACTGGATACCAGCATTTATAGCGGACTCCTTATTATATCTCAGCGGAAGAAAGCCAATGTAATTTATAACGATATTTAGTTTAAAAAGCAATTTATTATCCGTCGATAATAAGGAACATAAATAAATTAATGATATCTTTTTTTCAGATTGCTTAATATCTACAGAAAAATATCAAAGTTTGAAAATGTAACTAGCTTCTTTACGAATAATGAGTGAGAATTTACAAACGATAATATCCTAAAGTTATAAGACAAATTATCTATTGTCGATAAGAGTAACTTCTTCTTTAATGTTGCTGATATTGATTGGGAGTGTTTTTGTACTACTTACATGAGAGGATTGCGAGTATTTTTAGGTAAAGACCCGATGGATACGGTTGAAGAATCGAGATCTTTTTATAGAAGGTAAATGTTTTATTATCTATCTTTTATAACTAATATTATCTTCATTCAACTTAAAATTAATTATCCTTTTTATTATTTATCGTTTTTAGGTTGACAATAGCTCATTATACGTTGAAGTGGTCTATTTATGTTCTTATTCTCTGGATTTTATATTCTTTATTATATTCTCTTTTTACTTATATATTTTATTTCTGACAATCTGTGAAAAACGAAAATAAAACAATTTTTTTTATAATGATTATCAGATAGAATATGTTAATTATTTGTTTATAGAATAAGTACTTTCCCTTTAGCTTTGAAAAATTTCTGTTAATAGACGCATTGATTTTAATTAATAACGAGAAGGTTTTTACATGTTAAAACTTTTATCAAGAATATAGAATTTGGAATTTTCTTTGCTTAGTTCAAATAATATTTGTTGATTAAATGGGAAACGAAATGTCTTTTAACATGTGAACTTAAAAAAGTTTAAAACGTAAATTATTTATAATTAGTTACAAAAGAACTTACTAATAGATCTGTTAAAAATAGACACTTGACATCTACTTTATTGGCACAGCAGCTAGGGACTTTTTGTGCAATAACTATACTTCAGGGACACTAATAATTTCTTATTTTTTACAATTTGACAGATTGCTTTTAGCTATCTACTCACGAATATTTTTCAAATACATTATCTTTAATCCATGTTGTAATAATAAATCTAATATTATCTTTTGTAATCCTTCGTAAAATTATTCTTTTTCTAAGTAATCTGTATAGGTTATGGGCCCAGGCAGATAGGGGAATAGATATTTATGAGGTATGTAGTAAAAACCAAGACTAAAATAATGTTTTTGAGTATATTTTAGGCTATGTAAAAAAATGATAAACTAACCGAGGAACAAAGGAAGGCGAACTCAAGGGGATAAATAAGTTTACGAGTACTAAGTACTGATGTGTGTGGAAGTTTCAAATCCGCCTAGTATTGTGCTAGCAAAATGTTTGGGAAGTTTCGAATGGGATGGATTTGAAACTGGCTACATCAACCACCGATATGGATACTCAAACACGCCAAGTGCATTATAAAGAACTGGCAACTTGTCTTAACGCAAACGTAGAAGCGCAAAAGGTAATTCCAACGACCATCAAAGGTCAGCATATGCACCGCGTAATCAAAAGAGAGAGAGAGAGATTTAACAGAGACTATCAGATGTCTACGAACAAAAGTCCGAAGTTCTTGAATACACCTACAGTAGCAAAATTAGTATATTGCTACAAAAGATATGGTATTGAAATCATATCAACGCACATTGCCAAACTCAAGGAATTCGCACATCGTTGGAGATTAATGGAAGAGTAATTACCAGACTCGATGATTATTACAAAAATACTAATGATATTATCTACAACTATGTCTATTTCGTGAGTGCTTGGAAGTTAGTGCCAGCTGCTAATAGAACCTTAGCAAATCTAACCATGCGACTGTCGATAGAAAAGTTTAAAAATTTAGCACAAGAGACTAGCTAGGTAAAGGCCTAACGACACAAGACGCAGCAAGAATAGAACATATATGGTCAATTTAAATCAGTAAAATGCTACGAGTGTCACGAACCAAGTAATTAGACGAGGAATTGGTCGAAAAAAAATTCCGGAAGCGACAGTGGAGGCAAGAAGAGGCCCTAAGGCGGGGGATTTGTCAGCGAAGCTCTCATTTGAACAGATAACAATAAACCGGCAACCGGGAATGGATCATGGACACAGGGGCGAGTGATCAAATGTGGAATATACAACGATGAATCACCACGTATTGAAAGTTTAATGGTCTAAGTTCTGTACGCGTAGGAGACGAAGGTTGCATTGAAGCCTCTAAAAATGGTTGCGTTATCGCATGTTCGATGGGACGAAGTGGAACCAAAACTAGTTTGTAGAGGTAATATATGTACCAGAACTAAAACACAATCTTTTTCAGTCGGAGTCGTATTACATTAGGGTCTAGGAATGCTGATGATACGTTCAGGCTGTAGATTGGTAAAGTGAGAGCGTATCGTGAAAGTTAAAGTCAGATACAATAATCTTTACATTATGAAATTCAAGATGGTGAGATGGAAAGCACATGCGACGGCACGCGATCATGGCACAAAGGTTGGTATGGCAGAATTACATACATGTCAAGAAGGTAATGAAACTATTTTAGATCAAAACGAAAGACGAAGAGGAACCTTTTTGTGCGACCTGTGCAAATGGGAAGATAAACCGATTTCCTTTCCAGAAAAGCACAAGTAGAACCCAAAATATAGGAGAAATAGTTCATGCTGACCTCTGCAGACCGATGCAAATAGATTCCATTTATAGTTCACACTACTTTCTACTGTTGAAGGAAAACTTCAAACATCTTCGCACTGTGTATAATTTTACTACAATACACAATGCATTACTTTTAAAAACGATAAGTAGGATCAGATAACGTAATTATTACGAAAGATTTGGTAAGAAGATTCCCAACTTAATGGACACCTCTTTTTTCGATGATTCGGCCCTTCGCAATTGTAGCAATGCTATGCGTACCGTTGCCACTAAACATGTTGACCGATTCCTCCACGTCTTTAACATTAAACCTATCGACATTTTATGTATACCTAATCCTACCATAAGCGTTCAAATGAAAGCGTTCAAAGAAGAATCTGTAACTGTTTTTATTATTGTTTTTGATGAACATTCTTTGCTTAGTTTTCTCTCCTTCTGATATTCGGTCCCAAGCTCTTCTGCCAATTGAAATAAAAATTTTTATCTCAATATTACTTCACCAGTTGTTTCTTTATATAAAATCCAAGCATTTATCCCGGCTAAATCTAATATATTGAAAAATACCTGTAAAAGCCATTTGTGACATTTAGATTTTACACTATATTTTCTGGCCATTTGATCACTTACATCTACATCGAATTTTGTGCTATTGTAAAATCTAATTGTCTTTGGTATACGGGTGTCACTTTTTTCAATTTCAACGGATGAATGCTTTGAACTAAGTATTAATACTTTTTTATTTGGTTAGATTTATAAATTGAAAGAATAAAATCATTCGATTTGTATAATATTGTTGAGAAGCGTGTCATGCTATTCTTTGCCTGTCTCGCTAATTTTGGTAGCTATCTTTTATTTCTGCGGATAGTTCCAACAAGCGTAGTTTTTTTTTGCAAGAAGTTTACTCGCTAATGACGAACTTGAAAAAAAATTTTCAGTTATTATATTTCTTACATTGTCCGTATATGGTTCTGCTAATTTCAAAGTTACTAACGTTCCAAGTCGGACCGATGATTCCTTTCCTTCATTTTTTCTCAAATATGGAAAGCCTATTTCTTACTACTTACATCGGAAACTAACCTTAATTTTATGCCAAAAATAGTAACATAAAATTATATCCAATTTGTAAAATAATCTAAAGCACATGCGTTAAAAATGGAACAAAAACACATTCGAATGCAACTTCCTCAGTGACATTTAGAGCGTTTTCGAAAGGATAAAGTCGATTTTGTGCGTCGATTCATCACTATGGATGAGACTTGGGTCTATCACCATGATCTTGAATCAAAACAAGAATCAAAAGAGTGGTGTGAATCTGGTTCTTAGGCTCCGAAACGAGTTCGTGTCCAGAAATCGGCAAAGAAAGTGTTAGCATCAGTTTTTTGGGATGCGAAAGGAATTTCATTTGTGGATTACTTGCAAACTGGTAAAACAATAAATTCTAAATATTATTGTAACTTTTTAGACCAGCTGAGGGAAAAAATTCGTGAAAAAAGACCCGGTTTGGAGAAGAAAAAAATCCTTTTTCATCAGGACAATGTACCGTGTCACAAGAGCATTTTGACAATGGCTAAAATCCATGAATTAATGTTCAAATTGTTGGAGCATATATTCACCATATTCACCAGATTTGGCCTCTAGCGATTTCCATCTGTTTCCAGACCTAAAAAAAAATCATGCGTGGAAAGCGTTTTTCATCAAATGATGAGGTCATAACAGCTGTGGAAGCGTATTTTGCAGCCCTTCCAGATTCTCACTTCAGGGATGGAATTCATAAGTTGGAATTATGTTAGAATAAGTTTATTGATGTTCGGGGAGACTATACTGAATAATAAAGTGTATTTCAAACCATAAAATTGTGTTTTTCTTATCGAACCGCAAAACTTATTGAACAGCCAAGTTTACGTTATGATCTCAAAGGTTGATACAACATCAATAATATTCAAAAACTAGAGTATAAAATGATTTCAAAACGTGTATTTAAATTTAAGAAATAAATTTACTTACATAATTAAAATCAACCTGAACGAAAAGTCTTTACCAAAAGCACGACAGCATCACCGACCTGCTGCACTGTATCACAAATTCTTTCAACACGTTCCTTATTTGGCTATTGTTTTATCTCGCGTTTATGTATCAACATATGTATATATTGCATGCATTATGCACATACTTATAATCTTACCTATAAGTTATGTACATATTTGTGTTTAACGACATTTCTAATTTTATGCTGGAGAATTATTAGAAAATTCCGACATTTCAATATATTAAACAAATTATGTATAGGAATTGTTACATGTAACATATATACATATATGTATGCATCTATGTATGTGTATGTATATGTAAAAGACACGTGCAACATATAATATTACCGTTTTTTTGCTTTTCATTGATTATTATAAATTCAATTCAAATTTTATATCTTTGTATTATTTTTGTTCTTTTTCAATATCTCATTTTTACTTTAATGGAATGGAAAATGTGTAATGTAAAGTGTCACTTAAATAGTGTCACAATTAATCATTAATAAATTTGGTACGTCGTTGCAATATAAATTTGTATTTCTTTAATTTTTATTTAAATATAATGAAAAATTCACAATACGAAGATTTAAATATTATCGTAAATGAATAAAAATATTGAACATACGAATTCTTTAAATATTTAAGGTTACATTGTAAATTGGTAAAATTGACGCCTGTATGATGCAACTCTAAGAGCAAATATTAGTTCGGCATTGAGTCAATAGATGGCTCCATATGTTAATACTCTCTCACTTATGATCATGTGATGAAAAACGTATATAATGTACCTCAGAGCTTCAACGTTTATTAAAAGGGTGCTCGCTGCTTATATAGCGCGCCGGACTGTCTCCGGAACGGCGGGGTATGGAAATCAAGACATACCCAGTACATAATTTTTGAACCTGTGAGGTTGTTAGCTGCCATAAAAGCACTGACGCCTCCATCAATTATTAAAAATACAAATGGTTAAAGAATAAATTTATATTATGGAAGTGTAATAAATCCAAACTAACTCCCATATTATGTCAACATTTAATTATGGTGTAATTATAACCCGCAAGAGTAGTATAATTTATTAATTCTATTAGATAATTCTTCTTAACTGTGACGCTCTCACGTGTTTTTCTACCAAGTAATTTCGGCAAATTTTTGCTTCGGGTAGAGAGTGTCATCTGACACACAAAATTTTTATTTAAAATAGAAAAATCCGCTCGTACTTTGTATATATGTTTCTTTTTGATTTATTTATTTTGTAAATTAAAACATGATCTATTGTAATTGTTCATGGTGTTAGACATCTTTTGGAAACCTGAACAAGAATTGCAATAATCACTTCTTTAACACCTATTATCCTCTTTTCTTTGTGTTTAAAAAATTAATTTTTTAAGTAAAAAAATTATTATAATTATAAAAAACTATATATTTTTTTCAATAATATCTAAAATACATCCTATTTATACAATTTCTGAAAGTTTAATTTTAGAATGTACAAGTTTGCCCAAAAACGTGTGGTTCCAGGAGTATATCTTACAGATTTCTTCTTGTAATTAATGTATAATTTAAAATTAATAAAAATAAATTAATGTGTTAATTTAATGAGTTTCCATTTAATTTAGCTTAAAAAATGGATGTAAAAATTCTTGTAAAGATATTCAGAGACAGAAATCAGTACACATGAAAGTTTGATGATAAATATCTTTTGAACGCTTAATTTAATCGCCAAAACATAAGACACCATTTTTATAGAGCACTTAATTTCCTACAAAAATTTGTATTGCGCATTTTATAATAGTCATTTATTGTCGAGTTATAAAATTCATAAACAAAGATGAAATTTGTCTTAAAATAATCAAACTTAAATCTTCAATATCATTCAAATGGTGAGGTTTACGAAAAAAATATAAGATACCTTTTTTGTAGAGCATTAAATTTCCTACAAAATTTGTTTAGAACATTTTTCTGTACAATCAATTAATGATGAGGTATGAATTTTATTCTATTGGACTGAGAAAAAAATAAAAAAGCGCAGAAGCATTTAATAAATAAAGAAATCATTGAAAATTCAATCAATTGTCTATTCTGATAAAATCGCAAGTTGCGAGCAATTAACAGAAAAGATTATTGTAGCCTTTCATATTTTCAAACAATCGAATACGTTAGAAAGTGGTAATAGAAATTTAATTAGAAGAACAGAAGTATGTGTTCGGCAGAATGGGCAACATTTTCAGCAATTTTCGTAATAATAAACTGTGTGATTACTTCGTAATTTACGTGTCCCATATAGACAATGTTCTACAGTAAGATCCGTTATAACGAGACATGATCCAGTGCACGCGTACTATGCGACAATTCTAAGTTGATTTTCTTGAGAACAAAGCTTTAAGCGAAAAATTTTTATTCTCTATTTTCGATTGATGTTTTCATGTAGAATCAATCACTCCCTTTTCGTTTGTACCACCAGTTACCGATCACCCTGTATACCAAAAGGTCCCAGTATGATCTTGGGATGGTCGTAGCTTCATCCTAAAAAAAAGAAAAAGAGAAGAACAGAAGGATATTAGCCCTTTGACTGCTAACTTCTCTAAGTTAAAGCGCTTACCGTGAGCAGTGTGCGGCCAACAGTAGCGATCGTTGGAGACCGAATACTTTCTCGCGCAATATTGATCTTGTGAGCGGCGTATTAATACATTGTAATATAATTCGTAATCCAATTACTATTACATTGTCCACTGCAAAAAGGATCCAATCATTTTGTATTTTCAACAAAAATTGTTTATTCACCAATGGTAAGATTTTAAAACGCCCTAATTTGATAGTTACAAATTATAACTATACATTTTCGATGTGAAAACTTCTTTAAAATGGGTGCGATTTGAAAAAATGTAACGAAGCGGTAGGCGACGATTTAACGGAGCGATAGGTGGCGGTTTAACAGAGCAGCGGGCGTCTATGAAACGGCCAAGATACTAAATAAGAAGAGAAAAAGAGACAAACATGTAAGATTTAGCCTGCGAGAAAATGTAACAGAATATAGTTATGCAGTGTTTCCTATTCTCGGTCTTTGGGTCGAGATCAGCACCGAACCGCACCTCACCGCATTCCGCATTTCGCATTCCGCATTCCGCATCTATATATATTGTAATATGTATTAATTATATTATAATAATATATATTTAAATTTTTTAAGATATTATTAATTATATTATTATGTAATCATTATATATATTCATCATTCATCATTCATCATTCATCATCATCGTGAACGAACCTCGTAAACAAGCCTCGTAAAAGAGCCTCGTAAAAGAGCCTCGTAAAAGAGCCTCGTGAATTAGCCTCGTAAACACAATTATTCTACACATGATATTCTGCATTCGTCTCATTCTCTCAAAATTTAGTTTTTTGATGGTTTCACTTCTAACACATGTGAACTACACACATGATTTTTTTTCTCTCTCTCTCTCTCTCTCTGCTGAGCCTTATGACGTTAGACATTTGCCTCGCTCTTCTCATGAGCTAAATTCTTAGACACTTTTATCGACAATTGCAAGGTTAGGTTCGCCAAGGTTCGATCAGCTGCTGGTGCTGACTTCCACGCACTGACGAAATAGCGATAGCCTGTAGATAATATCATTAGTATTTTTGTGACAATTATCGAATCTGGTAATTAATCTTCTATTGATCTTCAACGATGTGCGAATTCCTCGAGTTTGGCAATGTGCGTTGCTTAAGGATCCTATAGGAGGGATGCGCCATGTACATTGCTGGGGGACTGGAACTCGATTTTGCGCGCGAATGATTCAAACATTGAAATAATTATGAAATAATGAATGGCATCAAATACAGAAAAAAATGAACTATATTTAATGATAATTAAAAATTTATATTAAAATAGAATAGGTTAGACGAAAAAATTATTATAAATTCAAGCGGTCCCCCAAAATTTTCAGCCAATGGCACATGAGCTGAATATGAATGGCACATCCCTCCTACAGGATCCCTAGCGTTGCTATGCTTTCAGTGTCCTCTTTTGTAGCAATATACCACTTTTGCTGCAGTAAGTGTATTCAAGAATTTCAGACTTTTGTTTGTAGACATCTGATAGTCTCTGTTAAATCTCTCTCTTTCTCTCTCTGATTATGCGAAGCATATGCCTAACCTTTGATTATCGTTGCAATTACCTTTTGCTCTACTACGACTGCTTTAAGCTAAGCTGCCAGTTTTTTCTAACACACTTGGCGTGCCTGAGTATCCATATCGGTGGTTGATGTAGCCAGCTACTAACGTCCCTTTTCATCTACTTACTGCACAAAACGTCCATAGCTATACCGCCGATAGAGTCGATGACAAGAGTCTATTTTTAACAGACCGATTAGTAAGTTCTTCTTTTATTACTTATAAATATTCTAGGTTGTAAATCTTGTTAAGTTAACATATTAAAAGTTATTTCATTTCCCTTGAAATCACCAAATATCATTTGAGCTAAGAAAAAAAGATTCTAACTTCTAGATACTTGATAAGAGTTGTAACATGGAGACATCTTTTCGTTAAAAATGAAATCAATGCTTCTAATAGCACAAATATTTTAAAGCTAGAAGGAAAAATACATATTTTATAAACAAAAAATAAACTCATTAAAACTAATAATAATTATAAAAAGATCATTTTATTGTTGTTTTTTACAGATTGTCAGAAATAAAATATATAAGTAAAAAGAGAATATAATAAAGAATATAAAATCCAGAGAATAAGAACATAAATAGACCACTTCAACGTATAATGAGCTATTTTCAACCTGGAAACAATAAACAATAAAAACAATAATTAATTTTAAATAGGAAAAAAATAATATTTTTTATATAAACAAAATAATAAAACATTTACCTTCTATAAAAAGGTCTTGATTCTTCAACCGTATCCATCGGCTCTTTAACCAAAAATACTCGAACTCCCCTCATGTAAGTAATAGAAAAACATTGCCAATCAATATCAGCAACATTAAAGAAGAAATTACTTTTATCGACCACAGATAATTTGTCCCATAACTTCAAGACATTATCGTTTGTAAATTCCCATTCGTTAGTTGTAAAAGAGGAAATTACACTTTTAAACTTATTTATTTTTCTATAGATGTTAAGCAATCTGAAAAAAAATACAATTAATTTATTAACGTTTCGATTTATCTGCTAATAATAAATCTAGATATTGTTATGCATTACATTGGCTTTCTTCCACTGAGATATAATAAGGTGTCCACTATAATTGCTGGTATCCAGTGCAAAAAAAATGCCAAAAAAATATGGAAATAATAATACTTGTTCAACCATAAGGAGTAGTACCATAATGTTTTTTTCCATGGAACATCTAATCCGCTTTTTCTTAAATAATTTTCTACAATACCCCAGGTAATTGGTCTTTGAACGGAGGAAACAGAATTATAAACTGGAATCTCATCGTAATCGGGTAAATACTTGTTATCTTTGCTGCAAAGATTAACACTCTGTGATATGGACCTACGAAAAAAGAGTGCTATATTATTTATTGTAAATGATTTTTTAAGAGATTAACTAAAAGATGATAGTAAAGATTATTAAAGAAAGAAGAAAAAAATTACCGTTTCTGTGCAACGTCCCATGCTGCAGCAATAATGTTATTGATAACGTAGTCGGCAGGAATTATATCGCAAATTAAGTTACTATTACAATACAGCGTTCGTAAAAT